CGTCAGTCGCGTTAACGAAGGCAAAAGAAAGATTATTTATGATAAGGCGATTTGCGCTTGACGCGTTTCTAGTATGAAAGTGAAAAATGGATGCGCCCTGTCGGGAGAACAAATTGCGCCTGGGCGAACCGAAGCTTGAGAAACCTCCGGAAACGGACAACTCTCCCATAATTGTGAAATAATAAAGTTTAAAAGACGAGTTCTTATCAGGTATCCCTTTCATCTGTTAAAAGAGTAAAAGGAACCAAATGTACTTTGCTTAAGACAAATTATACGTTCAGCGAGCCGATACTATATGTTCAGTTTCTAATACTTGTAAAAATATTTTATAAATGTGTTACTTATGACAAGAAATATTTTGAGATTTAGTAGATACTGCAACGAGACTCGACATCGTAATTATATTTAAAACAATTCTGTATGGTTTAAAACAATTCTAGTAGACGCTGAATATATTTACTAGTATACAGAATTTCTCTTTTAGCATTATCATCTTGATTTATGTCATTATCATTTTTACAATAGCGAGAAATATTATGAATGTTTTAATGAATGTAATTTCACATACGCATGTATATTATTAATTGGAAATTGGAATGTATTTTTGGAAAGTTATTTTTAATTTTTTAAATGAAATCGCAAGGAAATATTAATCCATTTATATCAAAAAATTGTTATTTTAGGAGACATTTTAATTTTAATTTTATATAAAATTGTTTCTCACGGTATGACGTGCTGTACAAAATTGTTATGCAAAATATGATTTTTTGACATACAAATACGATTTAATACTCTTTTTATAGAAAATGCCAAACTACATCGATTAATGCATTAAATCAAAAATGTATGATTTCATTTAAGAAAACAAAATTTATTTTCATGTGGCTTTCACACGTTCACTCAAAAAATTAATATTATCGGATTGCATACACATTGAGACTATTCATCTCTCACTATAACATTTCTCGTTGTGAATAATGATGCAAACTAAATATTAAGTGAAGCATCATATGTATATTTCATAGAGATCAAAGCATTTAAACAATCAATTATTCACTGTAGTAATAAATATGATTAATCGTTTATTGTTTACTTAAAATGTCTATTTTAATATCCATTTATTACTTACATAAAATGTCCGTTTTATTAAATATATTTACAATATCTTGTAATTTCTATATGTAAATAATAAATTGAACGGATAGAATCTCGTTACTGTAGTTTCGTTTAACGCGCACGATACACACCTCGGTGAGCAACTATACACTGTATTTCTGTAATCGTGTTACAATCAATGAAGGAGTGGGTGATTTTGCACGCAAAAATAAAATGAAACTAAAGAATATCATTTAAAACTTTGCATTTAAAACTTTGTTTTCGAGAAAATCGAGTTTGAAAATTTGTCAAGTATACTCGAAATTGGCTGATTGTAGACTGGACAGGAGTGAATAATCGATGAGCGATTGTTGTATAATGAGAAAATAAGTAAAAAACGTAGATTGAAATTGTTTTACGATGCTTCATTTCCTAGAAAATTTGTTTAGAAAATTTATCAAGCACGCAGTGAATTAAATAAATTCCTAACCAAGTAGATTTTCTTGGAAGCAAAACCATAAATGGAAACATTTTATTCTATACTTTTTACTTATTTCTAAACTTATTTTCGTCAAAACAATATTACATGATACTGAAACAAAAAAATCATGCGTATCAATAAGATTTTTCTTGTGTGTATTTTGTCTAAACATTTATTATTGTTATTGAGTTGAAAACGACCGAATGACCAAACCTAAATACAATTATCGAATTTTAAACTCGAGTTTCTCACACACGAAATCTTTACTGAAAAAGTATTCCTTTCTTCTCTCCGATTTATTTTTGCAGAATTCCAATCAGTTGCATCATAATTAGTTTTGAAGGGTGAAATTATCCCTTAAAAGAAATGCAAGCTACCTCGAAGATGATAGATAAGAGATATCGGAAAAAATTTTTAATAGAAATTGTACGAGTTTCTCTCACATCTATAAAAGGAGTTTGATTTACATTTAAAAATTTACATTTTTCAAGTTACTCCCGCCGTCATCCTTAAAGATTGAATTTTCTTTAAATTAAATTTATTTTATTTAGAAATAGGAACAATGAGTTTCTTTCTCTTTCGTGCGGCAAGCTGTACCAATTTTTTTTCAAATTCATGCCTATACTTTTTTAGTCAACTCGTCTTTCCCAATTAAGAGATTAAAATCGATAAGACGATTCTTCCGTTTAAAATATTTAAAATTTGATAGAAATGACTGTGTGACTAACTGTATTTCAAGCATCTGAATGTAAAATAGCCGAGTGATTTATGAAATTTTTTTTTTCTTAACTGTCCTCTATAAATATTAGCTTTTAGTACAAAACCATTCGATTACTAGTGTTGCGTGTGTGCACGTGTATGTATATACAGTATATACGAGCTCAAAACGACAAATTCGATGGAAACGACAACAATAAATAGATTTTGGCGACAATATCGTATTTTCAACGACGACAAATGCTGTGCACTCGAGAACGTTGCATTGGATTCCGCACGTGAAACAGAATTTTCGTCATGAAACACGCTCACGTTTTAAATGAGTTTTATATTCGTTTCGCGTGAAATCACAACGGCACGATTCATATTTTTTTTAGGTCGATCGTTTGAGCTATCATTTCCCAGCCATTTAACGTTGCAGTGATTTCTCATTTCCGTGTTTCAATTCGATATCGCGTAAAAATGTCGAAGCGCAGTAGAAATTGTGTTATACGAATGTGTCGGGGAACGAATAATTTATACAATTGAAATTGAAATATAAGAAGAGTTCAGGTTCAAACGAGTGGATACAAACTATTAAGAGCTCATTTAATCGGACATTGACTAAAATTTGATTCAAGTAAACAGTGTTCACATAAGTGGAATTTTGCTTTTGCTGAGAATGAAAGTTTGATATAATAGAATGAATGAAATAAATTGAGTTCACATAAACGGAGATTTACTGTATTTGCTCAAAAGGCGAACGATTTATTTTCATAAGTTCATCCGTTAACGACGAATCCTTACAAATAGTTAACATTGAATATTACCAATTGTGAATTACACAGAATTTGTACAGAATAACAATTACAAATAAGTATGAGACAATTTCTTATGGAAAAATAAGGAAAATATATAGAACAAATTTTTCTTCTTTCCATTCGTTTTCGTGAAAATTCAATTCCAAAATTCCATCTTCTGATGTACAATTCCTATCCTAATTATTTTTCTGTCTATTTAAATGGTTGTATGTTTTCCATAATTCACCATTTTTAATTACTGTCATGAGTTGTATTTAAGAAAAAAATAAAAAATTAGATTTAAGAGTATCAAAACAGTAACGTATCTTCTGAACAAGAATGAAGTAAAAACAAACCTTTTATTTTTATTATTATATAATATATTAAATAATATATATAATAATAATATATTAAATAATATATATAATAATATATTAAATAATATATATAATAATAATATATTATACTATATATTAAAAATTCATTAAATGTATAACTTCTTCATTGTCGATATAATATAATCACTTTTATATAGATTCATTTTTTATTTTTTTCTTTGAGACGAATACATAAATTATAGCTACTGTTAGAAACGATATACTGCGAAAAATAATAATTTGAATAATAATAATAGTTACTACTATTGTAAAAAAATTACCAGAACAAATATATATATATAATACCTTTGATTTACATCTAACAAGTTAACAATTTTTTACCTAATAAATCGCTTAATCGTTTGAATGCTTAAAATTACCAGGAACCTGAAAGTTTAATATTGAACGAGGACATGCAACAAAGTAATAACGCATTTCATCTTACAACGATATATATTTATTCAATATACATATCATCCTTGAACCTTCGATAAGCAAACCAATTATATCATATTATTGATTATAAAATTATCTATACGATACTCTAGTGCCGACCGAACGTTTAAACAGTTAAAAATCGGCGGTTCTGAACGAGGATACTCCTTTGGATAACAATATTTGCAAACATCATCCTATCTGCTATTCAATCGGCAAAGAAAGCAGATTTATCCCGAGCAATTTGGACGAACATCCCGTAACCACGTATTCCCGAACGAGCGTATGATATATATCCCGCAGGTCTCGTCAGGTTCGATCGAGCCGGCGTTAAATTCATTGAAAAGTCACGCGACTCGGCCGTATGTCATCCTTTTCCCTTTCACGCGGCATTCAGAGGACCCATTCGGTCCTATCGGAGGAACACCATCGGTTGACCCGACGTGGATTTCAATCAAACGATCGCGAGACGCATAGATCATTCTATTAGCTTTGACGTGCGCTAGTTACCACCCCCTTTCGAATGTCGATCCATCTCTCCGCGGTGGCGGCCGAGCCCTCCCCTAACCAGCCAGCAATAAACCGCAATATAATATATCAGTGTCTCGGCCATACTGAAATAATCCAAGCCCGGCCAACCTTCGAATTTAACGAATCACGATTTTTCATCAATCAGCCGAACGACAATGGGGAAACGCGAATCCTCCCCCACCCTACCTCTGATCATTCCTTCGTTCGCGTCTCCGATCATTTTTCCCCACCTGCGGGGCCCGTTTGCTCGGTTCGTTTGACTGTTGTCATTCTCCGCGTAACTTATCACCACCGAATAAAGCCCGCGTCTAATATTAGGTTGTCCCATAAGCGTCGCTTTCGCTATCTGCCTTTTTTTTTTTGGCAATGTTTATATAAACATGAACCCTAATCGTTTAAGTGTTCTTATCTTCAGTCGTTTTCTAGCTGTCGTAGGATACGTTTCCTGTGCACTGAAGTCATTTACACGCCTTTAAATATGGAAGATCAAAGACTGAAAAATGGCGTCAGTGACAAAGAGATTTGCATCGTGTATGGGAGTTGTGCTAACAGTGTTCAGATAACACAGTTCGTAATTGGTTTAGGATGTTTAGAACTGGTGATTTTCATCTGGAAGATGAAGAACGCAGCGGTCGTACATCCACTACAGTTAAGGAAATAATCAAGGCCATGGTTGGTGAAAATCCGCGATATTGAATTGAGCGTTCGTGAATTGGCGGATATTTAAAAAAATTCCTCGAACAACGGTGCACGATAATCTTATGAGGATCGGCTACGTCAATCGCTCTGAAGTATGGGTCTCGCATCAGTTGACAGAGAGCAACCTCCTTAACCGTAATTCGACGTGTGATTTGCTCCTTTAGCGAAACAAAAATGATCCATTTTTGGAGAGATTGGTTACTGGGAATGAGACGTGGATTCTTTACGAGAATATTACACGTAAACGATCTTGGTCAAGAGATAAGAAACCTTTAAGAGTAGCAAAGTCTGGTCTTCACCCGAAGAAAGTTTTGATGTCCATCTGTTGGGACTGGAAGGGTGTAATTCATTATGAACTGCTTCCACAAGGTGAAACAATCAATTCAACGAAATACTGTGCCCAACTGGACAAATTGAAGGAAAAAATCGCCACAAAACGACCAGAATTAACCAACAGACGAGGCGTCGTTTTCCAGCACGATAACGCCCTAGATTCCATGTGTATTTAACCGTCAGGAACAAATTGTTATCATTTGACTGGGATGTTCTACCTTATCCTCCATACTCTCCGAATATTCCCCCGTGTGATTAGTACTTCTTCCTTTCATTAAAAAATTCTCTTCGTGGTAAAAAATTTATTACAAAAAACGAGATAAAAATGCACCTAGAACGACAGTTTGCTAGCAAACCACAAAAGTTCTGGAAAGATGATATTATACGGCTTCCGAAGAGATGAAGAAAGGTAATAGAACAAAATGGATCATATATAATTCAATAAAATAACTTGGAACAAAAAATTTTGCGCATCTAATGTATCCTTATAAAACGAAAGAAACTTTTGAAGAACAATCAACATATACGCGTGTACATCGATATCAACGTCGAGTCAACAACCTCCACCCCCTGGATTCGTTGCGTCGTTTCGTGCCGGTACTTTCGCCAGTACTGCGAATTAATTAATCTGTTGGCTGTTAAATTAACCGTAATTTTAACGAGAAAACGGGCGTTAACGTGAAAAATTAATTTCTTCTTCGGGGCGTAGCACGTCCGTTTCTTCTCGCGTTACGCGAGATATAATTAGGTATTTGAGGAACGTCGTTCGCTTGGATTTAACCGGTGACTCGTTTTAAGTAATTGGTCGACGAAGCTTTACGCGTGAAACGAGATTTAAAAATGTTTCAATGGTGGAACGCCTGAAGTGTGAAACAAGATTATGTTTCAACGAAGAAATATTGTAAAAAGTGGCGTTTATTCTCGCTCGCTTTCTTATAAACAACAGGGATTCTCGAAAGAACCGGGATTCCTGAAATAGTTGGGATTGGGGAAAGGATTGGTAACAAGAATAAATAATTCGTTAAAGCCCACGCCTTCAACTATATCGAAAGGTCGCAGATCTAGAACCATCATTCGAGCAATTCCTTCTGTTATATCTTTTGGTTTAACAATCTTTCGCGTATCATTTTGTACATGCGACAAATTTTATATCGATTCAGTTTCTTTTCTAGTACATGTACTTATGTTATATTATGCTTCAAATGGCATAATAAACCAGTAGTACTTGCATACTTCGTTTTAAATTCATGGTGACAATGTATGCATTCCGCCTTTGTATCATCTTTTTCTTGAAAATCTTCCCAAATAGAGCTTCTCTTTACCTTCTTCCTTTACACGATACTTCCTGCCACCACAACTTTACTCTCACTATCACTCGACATTTTTTTTTAAAGATTTTCAATCTTTATTAAATTTACACAGATTTTGAAACATACGTCTGAACTTCACGAATTTCTCAGCGATACTGCTCAACAGCGTACATAATGTCCAAGTACTAAGCACGTTCGTTTACATCAAGTCACACGATTCTTAGAATCCCTGTTTCCAATAACTTCACTGGCAAAAGAAATGGAATTGTGTATTTATATATTTTGTAGGCTGCTATACAGCATTGTAGAGTAGTTCGAGAAACGATAGCCGGGTTCTCAAAATTTTCGGAAAACCCGATTCTTTCGGGAATCTCGAAATTTTCGGGAATCTGACTCGATCTCTTCTCGACTCGTCCCGACCATCGGGTTCTGGATATCTTCGGATTCTCGCACACCGCTAAAATTACAGTATTTATTGTTGCCTAAGATTAATGGAGGTTATTAAACAATAAAACTGTAAAACTGAAAAATTTTAACTAAATAAAACATAAAAACTGTAAAACTATTGATTACTGTAATAGAAATAGTGTTTTTGGAAGT